CGTCTTAACTACCTTTCTCTACTGCCTTAACTACCTTTATCTACCGTCTTATCTGCCTTTATCGACCGTCTTATCTGCCTTAATGTACCGATTTCTGCCTAAATCTACCACCCTATCTGCCTTAATCTACCGCCTTATCTGTCTTAATCCACCGCCTTATTTGCCTTAATATACCGCATTACTTATCTTAATTTATCGCATTATCTGCCTTAATCTACTGCATTATTTATCTTAATCTACGGCATTATCTGCCTTAATCTGCTGCATTATTTATCTTAATCTACGGCATTATCTGCCTTAATTTATCGCTTTATTTGTCTTAATCTACCGCCTTGTTAGCCTTAATCTACCGAATTATTTATCTTAATTTATCGCATGATCTGCCTTAATCTATCGCCTTATCTGACTTGATCTACCGCCTTATTTGCCTTTATCTATCGTCTGCCTTCGTCTACCACCTTATCAACATTAATTCACCGTCTTATTTGCCTAAGCCTACCGCCTTATTTGCCTTAATCTACCAGCTTATCTGCCTCAATTCACCGCCTTATCCGTCTTGATCTACCGCCTTTTTGCCTTAATCTTTCGCCATATTTATATATTGTGACAAAGGCTTCGTTTCATTTAAGGGATGTCTTATTCTTTCAGGCTACTGTCGTTTTATTTTGGTCATTTCAGCATTATTATTTTAGAGTGAAAAATAAATTATGAAAATGAAATTTGGGAAAGACAATTGATATTGCTAAGGAAATAGATCTTTAGTAATTTTTGGGACCTATTTAAATCAATTCCCTGATCATTAGTAATATTTGACAGCTGTGTTATTAATGCATTTTTTACATTCCGCATTTAAAAATTCACTTGCACCAACTCCTCTATCACTTTAAAAAGATTACCCAACTATAAATAATACTTGAATGCTGTTTTTACAGTTTTTTGCAGCACTGTATTGTAAAAAATATATCGGCATTGCCTTTTTCAAAGAAACTTGACTTAAAAGCTTTTCGTCCACTTCACTGCCTAAAAATTACAATATTCCCATCTTTTTTGCCTCTTCAGAAGATAATAATAATTCCATCATTAACTCAATAAATATCCTATTGACTGTATCATCGAGATGTGAAGTAGATATAGCAGTTTGAATAGTTATCATTTTATGATAGTCAGTCTCACGAGGCTCATTGAAGAATCAACAATAATTGAGCCACTGCGCGCAATGACGAACATTTAATTTCTGAACTAGCTGATCATTAAAAAATTAAAGTTAGTCCTATGAACCTGTCTTGCCCTGAGCCCTTGAAGTTTTAATTAGACACTGATTCAAGAAAGTTAATTGTTACGATTCTGACTCCAGCCTCAATCCGTCACCGTTACCTAGAGATTTACACGAAGAATTTTTCGTAGCTTCATATATGAATTCTTTTATCGTAATTTGTCAGAGGTTTCTTGGTCAAAATTTTCCTTTGCTAGGAACGAGATGTTCAAAGCATCATTTAGGCACTCGTGTGGTTGGTAATTGGGAGGAAAGAACCTTTCGCAACGGCCTTAAGTCTCCCACGAGGGTTTTTTGAGAGCTACTAAGAGCAGCAAGGCTCCTTTGGTGTTGTTCTCAAGGAGATTCGGGCGAGCTAGTTAAAATTTTATCATCCAAAAGAACTTGTGTGATGCAAAAGTTTGTTTCAACTTCTAGCGAATGGTGTGGGCTAGAGGCAGGACCGAGTTTCTATGCGAAATACAGAGCGAAGTTTATTTTTATATTATATATTGTCATGATACTCCAGTTTCGTGTACGTGTGCCTTGTGTTCTGCGTACATGTGCACTTGGCAGTTCCTTACAAGCGTATTCTTATCATGAGGAAGTTATCATGTAACTACGTTCATTAATCCTATTTTTGAACATTTGGGTAGGATATTTCAACTTGATCGGTCCAAATAACGTTATTTATATATTTTTATGTCTGAAACTATTTACTGTTAATATGAAGAACAACGCATTTAAAATCAACATCAACCAAATAAACTTCTTTGCTAATGGGGTATATAAAATCTTCATCGAATTTAAGGGCTCGTAAAAAAGTTATGATGAAAAGTTTGCTTCCCTTAAGCAGTACGAAAATAATAGGAAAACTTTATAACCAATTGGAATAAAATTAAATCGACAACTCGCATCGATGAAGACTGGACCAAACAACAAAAAAATGTTCCACATTTCATGTATAAATGTAAAGGAAATAATAAGACAATCCAACATAAAAATGTTAAATGTGCACGTGTCGACCCAGCAGATTCGTAACTCTGATATTCCAGTTTTGTGTGGTCGTTGTGCCGGTGTTCTGTGTTGTTGTTGTGTGTAATGTGCTCCATTCTAGCTGTGTTGTGTAATGGAGGTCATCGTCAGATGAAGAAGCAATCCTCATAAAAAGCTGGCAATTCTCACGCATTGTGACGGGGGAATGAAAGCGATCTTTCCGTCGCACGCTTATCTTCCTAACAAACCATCTCTCGTAACGCAAGATATAAATTTGTAAAAGTTGTGAAGCACGTATATATGCGAATTTCGTTTAAAAAATTTGTAAAGTAAACGCCTTTATAAATAAAAAATACAACTCAGTTCTCACTGCAGTGAGTGGCAGAGAGCGCATTTTCTCAGAGAGCGTCCGTGAAATCACGGACGGACGGACATGACGAGCACAATAGTGAATTTTTTCCATAAATGAGAAAATGCGCTAAAAAGGCTGAAAATGCAGGCCTTCAGTTATGCAATCATTTCAAAATTTGAAGTATTTAATACACTGAGAGTTCTGAAAATCCAAATTTTTTAAGAACAGGCTAACATTACTAACATTACATTGTCTCAGTAATAGGTAAAATATATAGGTATAGTTAGAATGCATTGCATAGTGAAAATACTGGCTGTTGTATGCACCCTATACAGTATATAGAGCGTGATAATGTGGGCAGTTCTAACGCATAGCGCCTACAAAGTAACATATTGTCAGGAACCAATCTACATATATAAATTTATTTCGAAGTCAATCGTACGAAACGTTTTTAATCGCTTGATGGCAATGATTTTAGAATTTTGATACTTTATGTTATTTTGTTACGGTTGAATTGACTTTTACGCCCATTCTTAAGAGAATTAACCTTTTTGTAAGTAATTTAGTCAATTTTTAGGTTCTATAATAGGTTTTCATTCCTTTTAACACATGTGGAAATTTCCTCGTTTTAAGATCAAAAATACTTTATCAGAAGAGTAAATGTTTGCGTGTAGTGTCGTAGTATACAGAAACGTTGAATTCCCAATAAGCTCAATTGATATAATATATATCTCAGGAATAATTGTAAACATGTATAAAATACGTTAGTTGTGACAGATTAAAACCAATAATGCATCTAGTTATATGTTGTTGTTGTTATGTTGTTGTAATTGCCCATCCTGGTAGTGGCGACTAGGAGGGTGATAGTTAAGTTTTTCCGGGCACCTAATGCCACTGGTAGTTCCACGACCATCACTGGCTCGCTGACCCGCCAGAACCATTTTATTGCATTACACAACACCCTGGACAAGCCAGGTACTCATTTATCAACCACAGTTGGATGAATGGCTGAGTTGACCATGAGCTGAGCTATAGTTATATGTCGCAAAGTTAGGCGTTTGTGAAAACCGTTTCTATTTAATTGATTGAACGATTCGGCCCTATTTTAAGGGGCTGGTGGGTTCGCTTATTTCATGACTGCTTTAAATTAGGTTGCGGTTAATTATGACTCCAAACTTGTACACATTCGGAATATTCATTTCTGACTAGTTAAAATATTCAATGTGGATTACCAAAGTCCAGAAATTCATTCGCATAGCCCTTATTTTATTTTACTTCATACGTCACATTCCTTCCATGTTTGCACTCTTGCAAAAAGTTTATCCTCTAAATGAAATAAACGAAAAGCTTTTTCCTATTGAATATTGTAAAGCTTTTAAACAAATCTGTATATTATGCAACTGTGCACATTAGTTTCCGTTGAACTCATTCAACATCTCATTAACAAAAACAATTAGAACTCAGTCGAAAATTTAATTTCAAACGGAAATGAAGCGAGCGTTAATATCGAAGGTTAATCGCTTGGTAAATGAATACCGCCGTTTTGTGTATGACAACAAACTTTAATGAAGTTTTTGTCACCGTTGAGCCAATTTGTTATGCCATTGATCAGTGGTTAATGTTAGCCGTCTATATGGCTATATATAATATGAGGCTATATATAATGTTAGCCGTCTATAAGGCTGTATTTAATAAAGGGCTAGATATAATGTTAGCCGTCTATAGGGCTATATATAATAAGAGGCTATATTTAATGTTTGCCGTCAATAAGGCTTTATATAATAAAAGGCTATATTTAATATGTTAGCCGTCCATAAGGCTATATACAATATAAGGCTATACATAGTGTTAGCCGTCTATAAGGCTATATATAATATAAGGCTATATATAATGTTAGCCGTCTATAAGGCTATATATAATATGAGGCTATATATAATGTTAGCCGTCCATAAGGCTATAAATCCAAATTTTGGATGTCCTCTCAAAGCAAAATATTTTGATCGTTGTTTAGTTTCACTAGCCATGCAGATCAGAAATATTTCTTCAATAAATAATGTCTTTACTCAAAATTTATTCCGTAAATTATTGCGGATGACAATCTACTGCCGGCCAATAACTTAGTATAGTTTATTATTATTATAACATGTTCTCTGAGTTCCATCATTATTTTTCATTTAAATCAGAGGATACGTCATAACAAAAACCTCGTAACAAATGAAGTTAAATGTATTGTACCGAGTAAGCAAAAATATAAGCTAATTAGCTTTATATGTGTTAGAAAAAGGATCATTTAATTACATTAAACAACAAGATTAATATCACCTAATACAATTAAATAAAACTGAACCCGTGATGGCACGGAATAAAGTAGCTTAAAATAAATTGTTTCCTTTTTTTCAGCTGAACGTGAAAACCTTAAAGCAGCCGCTGGCGGTTGCGCTGCTTGTGTCTATGCTGGCGGTCTGCGCTGGCGCTGCATCAGTTAGCCCTCAATTTCCGAGGAGTTCCCTGCACCGAGGAAATCCAGGTAGCGTCCAGCACGTAAAGCATGCAAATTCTGAAGAAGAACAGGCCGGAAATGTACCAGCTGCTATCTCTGGATCTCTGCAAATAGATCAGGCTGGGAATAGACAGCATGGTCATGGTGGAAATATGAACCTAGGACACATCGGGAACCTACATGAAGGATATGCCGGAAACCTGCACATCGGGCAAGTTGTGAATCATCACGAAGGATATGTCGAAAATCTGCACAAAAGACATGCCTTAAATCTACACGAAGGAAATCTGCAAGAAGGACATGTCGGAAATCTACACGAAGGAAATTTGCAAGAAGGACATGTCGGAAATCTACACGAAGGAAATTTGCAGGAAGGACATGTCGGAAATTTACTCGAAGGATTCGCTGGAAATCACCCAAGTGATAAACCAGAGACCCAAACTAACAAGTTTCCCGACCATTTCAACGAAGTTGCTGAAGGCGAAACTGAATATCATCATCCTAATTTACTCAGGGTGACCGGGAACGAAAATAAAACCAGCGATGGTCAATCTAGCAAAGAATCGTTCCTTGGTGAGAAATCTGATTTTGAACGAAGGCATTATGACTCCGCCAAGATACACCAGGGGAAGAAAAAAAGTGGAGCAGAAGATGGAAGCACTGGCGGTGATGGTCAGAAACAAATTCCAGACCTCCAAGAAGGTGAGTTGCCAAAATGTCGATGATGTGCAAAATATTTCAGCCAGGTCATGAATTTCAGTCATTTACGTTTTGAATCGATAATTAATTTCTGGTGTACTTTGGTCTTTCTTGCTATTGCACCTTGCGCGTGCTTACATATAATGCTTTTAACCCTAACCATCATTTTCATTCATCAAGTTAGATATCAAATCTTTCTATCTCACTCTTGGTCCATCTATCTCACTTGGATGCTTCCATAAACTTAGCAAAGCTCGTTTTTTTAACTTTCATAAACTTATGATTTTAGTATCCATCCTACTTATAAAAATAAAATTAAGAACTGAAAGCCGAGGCCAAGGTTGGCTAAAAGCAGGTTTCTCCTTCTTTTACAGATTGCAAACACACATGCATTCTAACATTCTAGAACAACCTTTCCCATTACACTATAGAGAAGATCCGTTCTCAAGAAACCTGGTTCATAGATGTCCTCCTGAGTGCTGCTATACTTACAATAATTTTTTTTGGGGGCTCACCATTTACTTTATAATGAACTTACAAGCCTGAAGCTCTTTGCGCAAATTTCTACAAGATGTTCATGTCATTTGGCGCGTTTTATACGAGGCCTCGCACTTTCAGTGGCGTCTTTGGGCCCTTGCCATTTGAGCCTGTTTTATACGCGGCTGATTGAAATAATTTTTCAAGTGGATGCAGGATTTGAACACACTAACAAGCAACGTTTTTTGCGCACAACATGAAACTTCAAAATTATTATTTTCACTTTTCATTTTACCCAAAATGCGTCAGTCACACTCCACGGCGTAATGTCTTATTTCCAAATGGTTATCATTGATGCCATATTATTGTTATCATGTATTTCTTTCACACATGAAGATCGTTTGTACCCAAGTTATTTACACATATCAGTAATACAGTACATATTTTAGATGCATAATTTGTGCAAGTAACTTGAACAACACAATTTTACATGATTAATGTATCATGAATATGACGATTTTTAAATCCAGGCATTTCGGATCGGTCATGTTTTTACAGATTTTTTTCGGGTGAGCTCAATGGCTGTCACTGTTTTATTTATTGCTACACTTCTCTTTAATCCACTTCTTTTTTATTTACTTATCTGCAACGAATCTTATTCTATATTTAGCACATACCTTTCCAATCGACCTGAAATTTTGCACACTTACGTGAGGTTGGATACAATGCATGAATCAATTGACGGAATAAATAGTGTAAATTATATAAACAAAAATTTTTTATATGTTATAAAAAATGTTAAAAAGTCATTTTTATATATATAAATTTGAAAAGAAAAAAAGAAATTCATTGCTCATTAGTAAAATTGGAGACATTGGCCCCTTCAGGAGTGTTGTCTTCCAAAAGTAATTTTGAAACGCATATTTATTTTTCATTTTCACTGCTAAAATCACGACAAATCGGCAAACTATAATTAGAACTAGAATGTTGTCGAATGTTTTACGAAATTAAATTTTACTGAGAGATGAAAACGGGCACATTTGCTTTAATTTCGAAATGTGGTTTGTAATAGGCAGCTTCGTAAAATGGGGGTTTAAATGTGCCATCATTCAATTATAATTGTTTAGTTGACGAAGCATTAGGATACATAGATAAAATTTGCATTATGGAAGGAATCTCGAATCGTATCCGATCTCCAGGGAAAGCATGTTGACCTTATGTCATACATATATTTATCCCAAATGGAGATCGTTATCAACATTTATTTTTCATATCAACTATAAAAATATCTAGAACATCCATTGTGATACCACAAAATCTCTAAAAAAACAGACATACTATTTTTTATATATATAAATTTGAAAAGAAAAAAAAGAAATTCATTGCTCATTAGTAAAATTGGAGACATTGGCCCCTTCAGGAGTGTTGTCTTCCAAAAGTAATTTTGAAACGCATATTTATTTTTCATTTTCACTGCTAAAATCACGACAAATCGGCAAACTATAATTAGAACTAGAATGTTGTCGAATGTTTTACGAAATTAAATTTTACTGAGAGATGAAAACGGGCACATTTGCTTTAATTTCGAAATGTGGTTTGTAATAGGCAGCTTCGTAAAATGGGGGTTTAAATGTGCCATCATTCAATTATAATTGTTTAGTTGACGAAGCATTAGGATACATAGATAAAATTTGCATTATGGAAGGAATCTCGAATCGTATCCGATCTCCAGGGAAAGCATGTTGACCTTATGTCATACATATATTTATCCCAAATGGAGATCGTTATCAACATTTATTTTTCATATCAACTATGAAAATATCTAGTACATCCACTGTGATACCACAAAATCTGTGAAAAAACGGACATGTTATATATCTTGCGTTGTTTTCGGTTCTTGTGCAAGATTTTATCTTCTGAATTTCAAAAACGTATAAGAGTTTTGCTAGCGCGAACGTTGCTCGCACTTTGCCAAAGAAATGTGTAAGGATATTCGAAGACAGGGAGTGGCTGCACAGTCCATATTTCACTTGACCGAGCCCTCGCCTTGTCTATATTTACATTCCTGCGTACATGCAGGAGCAACGTCCACACACTTTCTGCGACAAAATTCAGCGTGCAGAAAATGGCGAGCTAGCGCTTTGCCTCAACTTGTGTATGTATGAAGACTTCTTCGGTTTTTGGAGGAGTGAATGCAATAAAGCGATGAATTATTCTTTTAAAGTGGATTAAAAGCTATTTAAATTTGACTAATTTGTTACGTTTTTATAAAAATATTCAGTACATTTAAACGCATCCCGGGTCACATGAATCATGATTAAGTAAATAAATAATTTCTCTTAGTAAACGAAGACGCAAACTTGAGGAATCCGGAAAGTTCATCCAAAAACATTACGTAGTATAAGACAACTTCATCAGCTTCTAATATTTTCGAGATCAAAGGTAAAATTTGTTATGCAGTTTGAACGCAAACGGACATGTTTTTAGGTGAATTTTATTTTCAGTTGTAGAATCATGGAAGTTCATAACAAGTTTGATGACCACATAACGAATGTCTGCCTCCGTGAGTTTTGAATTTAGTTTAAAAATTCGGTTTCGGTTGAATTAAATTTTGGTTTCGGAATTGTCGTCCGCTAGGAATTAGAATGCATGATTTCCTTTTTTCAGGCATAGACAAACTTCGCTTCAGCAAAAAATAATTATAAATTCATACGAAAAATTAGACTAGATATTCAAGGCTTATATTAAGCCTAAATTTGGCTGGAAACCGAAATATTTTAGACTAACAATAAAAGAAAACTAAAACTATTATAGTTTCCACGACGAAACGCCTCTCACGAGAACAGCACTTAACGTCCTGCCTTGCATACACGACGTTCTCTGGCTCTACAATTAACGTAATTGCTTGAGCCAATAGTTGACTGAAGTTCGAACCTCAATCGAACTAGTTATTTTCATTGCGCGATACGAGGGATGATATTTATTTAAGGGCTATAAACTCCGAAGAATTTAATCCGGAAATTATCATATAAACGGCTGCAAAATTTAATAGCCGCTCAAATGAAATTCGGGAAAAGCGAGGTGATTTTCTCTCTATATCATTAGGAATCATGTGCGTGCATGTGTTCTAGGGGAGGAAATGCTATCAATAAGCAATATCGGCAGGTGATAATATTAAGAAAATTTTTTCAAAGGAATTCACAATATTTTGAGCCAGAGAGAATATATAGGTATATAGAGAATAATTTTTTTCAATGGAACTTGTATTTATACAGTACCCAATCCCCAAATGAAATTAGTGGATGTTATTTATAAATAAAATAATCCCTCAGTAAGACTCGGTACTCGCTGATTTGCTTATTATTATGACACGAAATTGGATATTTGCACATAATTTTTAAATTCTGAGAGGCGTGGCTCAATTAAACACTGTAAACAGTCCTTCGATGTCCTACGGAAGCGAATATCGATGACAACGTTAAACGACCTGACGCGGTAATTGGCCGGTATTGATAACGGATACACAAAGTTTAAAATTCGATGTGATGATGTTAATTATTGACATTTCTCGACCAACAGCAATGCAATTTAAACCCGATGCGTTTGTGGACGTGAATTTATCTGGCATTGTTGTGTAATTTGCATGATTGTACACTTTTTTAAAGTACGCAATTTTATTAGGTTTCCACGAAATCCAACAGAGAGGTAGGATTTGGGTTCTGATAAATTTTCACATGTAAACTACAATTGCCGTGAAATATTGCGTTGATTTCCAATTTTAAAAATATCCTTCTTTCATAACAGTTCTTCCATCCCAGAGGGAAATTAATTCAATCTTATTTATCTATTGAGCAATTCCTAACAAATATATGGGAAAGGCTTCCGGTTCATTGCTATAACCATTGATACCATGAAAACGCATACGCTTGTTGAATATATTTAAAGCACCCTGTTAAATTTTTTAATGTGATACTTTGACGAGAAATAAATTAATTTAAAAAATACGACAGATTAATAATGGGCTGCTGTGCAGTATTAAAGATATCATTACGATGTATGTCACTGCGCTATTTTAACTTCATAACTATAGCATCAGAGAGCTACAAGCCCATCAATATGGGTAACTGGAACGTTAATGGACAATTTTATGGAGTTAAAAGATGTTCATTACAAATATTATATAAGCTTTAAACATGCGCCAAACTTTACTGAACGCTACATTGCTCTTCACACGGATGGTTGTAATAACATCGACTTTAAAGGACTTAATAAAGCCATCAATTTGATTAAATAAAATATTGGCCGGCACCCTTTAAACCCTGCAATGAAGAAAAGATACTAGTAATATAATGCCGCTCGGATCTGTCATGAAGTCTTAATGTATCTATTTTGCGATGCCAACTCTATAGAGGGTATTATCAGTCGATATCGTTTTGATTATTTCATTATTATAAACTCAATATTATTTTTCGTCATTACATTACTAAAGCTGTCATTTACTAAGTTGAGTGAAAAAATAATCGTATCCGCACAAACAAAATTTGACTATTTAGTAGTACCAAATTTTTTACAACTCCCAATAAGAATTAACATCAGTCAACGCTCTAAGGTGTAAATAAAAAGAAAAAATATAGGCATCGAAGCATTCATATAAGCTTTTAAATAACCTTCATTCAGAACCAAATAATGAAAATTATTATTTTTACAAATATCTATCAGACGTTTGATGATTACTAATTAGAAATATACAAAAATAGCCAAGCGGTGAACAGATTCATTATTTATTAAGCCGCTTTCATGTGCACTTGCTTGCACTTTATTCAGGCGTCGGTGCAGAGACTGAATTATGCTGGTGTACGATGTCGAACATAAATAGAATGAACTCTTCACTGAAATTTTTAGGATGAATAACACTTTAATTATTAACAGCATCTACATTGTTTGAAGGTCTAATAATATTTCTTAAGGTCTAACTGCACACTGTAGAAAACGTCTTTTTACATTAACTTTCATTCGGTTAACGGCCTGAGGGTTTAAAATAATATATTTTTTGTCTCAACACTGGGCAAATCGTAGAATCAAATTGTCAAATATTCCAATCCCGAATAATTATGAAAAACAATTAAACTGTTTGCAATGTTGAAATAAAGGAAAAAATTTGCAATGTTTTTCTAAGTCTACGGGAACCATGAGTTACCATCATCATGCCGAATGTTCAATGCAATAACAGCAGCGTTACATCATCAGAGTATCGAGTTCTAACACAAAGAGTTCTTTCTCGGATACCACACTTAAGCTGCCGATAAAAATTGGCACTGAAGACTATAGTATGTCGAGTAAAGTGCCTTCTTATTGGAGCTTCTATTGTGCCTCAGGTCGAGATCGCGACCTCTCTTACTGCTGATCATGTAACAAAATAAAGAAATGCGCTTCTTTAGGTAAGATTCGATTGTTTGATTATTTTGTGCCTAGATTTGAATAGTATTGCAACAGTTTGTCGGTACTGTAAAGTTTTTAAACTTCTGTCTATAATCGCTTTGCAGTTTAATAAATAAGCGGTAAAATTCAATTTTTTTCTAATTTCAATATCGGAAACTCGGTGCTAAATAATTCTAAGATAAACGAGTGCGTTCCAGGCATCATATCTGGTGGGATTTGATAACTTGTATTATGCGTGAAATTTTGAGAAGAGAAATTTATCCTGCGAATGCATGCCAAGGCCGACATGGTGACGATGAAATATGCAAGACGTGGACGTTGTTTGAAGGGACCAAATCCCTTGAGTGACTCCGATGATTCATACATCTTGGGAGACACGATCGCTCATAGGCTGATCGATGGACGCTCGAAAAACATACAGAATTTTTCGATTTTGAGCTACTTTTTTACATTTTTCAATGGCTGAGCCTTGATAAAATGTTGAAACTAAATAAGTATAAAATGTACATTTTTTCCTTTCTTTAAAGCTCAGGTGAAATAGTGGCAAGAAAAAACACTTGGGAACGCTCTGAGTTCGGACCTTAGGTTTCAAGTGAAATTTACAAGAGATTGATTAATGGATGAGATAATTGCGAAGATAAAACTTTTAATGCACGATATAATTTATTTAACAAATCACCATATAAACTTAATTTTTTTCCACAGATGGGGGGCCTGCTGCTGGGAAGATCGTGGTCTCTCGAACTGAAGGAAAATTGGCCCGCGAGAATGACGCAGACATCGTGGCTACTAAACGCAACAAGCGCAGCTACGGTGATTCTTACTTGCAGAGCATCGGTTATGATCCTATGATGGCATGGGGCGCTAAAAGATACGACGATCAATTTATGCAAACTTTGGATGATGGCCCTTCAATGACATGGAACAACAAACAATTCGACGACCAGGATATTGGAGGCAATGGGTATTATCTTGACGTGCATTCAGGACAACAATTAGGCAGCTCCGTAGACGACAATTCCAGTCCAGTCTTCGAAAATTTCATTAATAGGGAGAAACGAAATAATCAAGCAGTTACTGGGAGCGAGGAAACATTTAATGAAGATGTTGTAGTTCCAGGCATGTTTGTTAAGAACTTAAATCTTGAACCAATCATCACTAAACGGTCCTTAAGGCCTCGTATGTTCATAGGAGTAGATGACTACAAGCGATCGCCCAGTGAGATGGGACCTCGAGGATTCCACGAAGGAATTTTTAATGATCATTTCGGGTATTTTTCTCCAGTCAAAAGGAATAAACGAAGCGTAGGGGAACAATTGCCGTCTGTAATTAAGACCGAATCTAAATCAGAAAGTTTGTTCAATGGTCTTAAAGATATTCCCACAAAACGGAAATTTGGCATGGATGCCCAAGGGTTTTATAGTGACACTTTCTCTGGCGGCTTCGGTGATTTTGGAACGATGAAAAAACGTTATAATGACATGACCTCAAGCGGCTTCTACGGTGATACTTTTTCTGGCGGTTTTGGTGATTTTGGCACAATGAAAAAGCGATACAGTGACATGACTTCAAGCGGGTTCCATGGAGACACTTTCTCTGGGGGCTTCGGCGATTTCGGCACCATGAAGAAGCGATATCTCGGTATGACATCACATGGCTTTCATGGAGATACCTTTTCTGGAGGCTTTGGGGATTTCGGTACAATGAAGAAACGATACCTCGGGATGACTTCACATGGGTTTCATGGAGATACCTTCTCTGGTGGTTTCGGCGACTTCGGCACCATGAAGAAAAGGTTTCCGGCGCTGACCCCAGACGAACACCGCAGAGCATATTTCAACAACCGCCTGGCAGCCTTGTTCAATAACTCAGAAATGTCACAAGGAAGTCGTAAGAATTCTCAGAACAGAAATATACTTACTCCTGGATCTCAAATAGTGCGTTCCGACAAACCCAATCTTACAGACGGAGAACAACTTCAGAGATAAATTCATCCTTGGATTCTCTACGGTGGCGTCAGGTCAGAAGAGAACTGATTTTTAACCGGCGTCGGAATGTTATTGAAAATTGGTTGATGGAAAATTGTTGCTAAAATTTGTATGACAGCGCAATGCATCTTGATGCATGATGGAATAAATGCAAAAAAGGCCAGGAATTTACATTCCTGACGGATTGATCTCATTCAAAGTTGGACCAATGACACGAATCTCACTTTCTCTATTTCTCCTGCTCGTGTGACTTTTATAGTGAATGGCTTCTTTATCTTCTGATTACACTTCAATCTTATATATCAATCATCATGCCATTTAATGATGACTTGAATTGCGAACACAATGATTTTACCTGCTCCTTCTCTTAAGATCCTATTAATTGAAAATACTCCCGAACATATGCATAATGTATTCCTTGTGGTGTGAAACGCAATCAAAAGTGGCATCTTCAGATAACAATCTTGTTGATAACATGACACGAGCTCAGTACTAAAAAAAATATTGAAAAGAACTTTTTTAATATCAAAAAAATTTATGAATATGCTGTGTCCGTTTAATAAGTCACTGTTTCAATCTAGATAACTTTTCCGATACCTCTGTGGCCGTGCATGACTGATGTGCAGTTGAAACTCTTCTATTATTACAACTAATCATAAATATCAGTGACGCGAGGCTTACGTACGTTAACTTGAAAACTTCATTTTTTTCAAGCGTAACATGAAGCGAACTCTTGTTATTTGATTCAACACACGTAGAATTGTATCAACCTTCGCTCTGATCAAACGTTGTTATATTTCAAGGAAGAGGCCACTTAATAATTATAATTGTCAACATGTATAATAATTAATTCCAAATTGAAAGCCGACATACAGCATTACGTTTTGTCAACATTACGTTTTTGTTTCAAGATAGAAATTCAAGATATTCCATATTTAGATGCGAATGAATATATAATTAGGAACGTACAAAATTATTACATTGAATATAAATTGGAAAGATTCGCGATCGATTGACAAGCATTTATTTTAAACTCCAATTACCCGCCTTGATAAGTTTTACCTGCGGAACAACCTAATGAAGTGCCGAGAGAAAACTATTTTTACATTGCTTGCCCAATTGTAGCATGAAATTATATGGGATTATATTTTACTAAAATATGTTTATGTCGCTTCGGATTCTGCATGTGAAGGAAAATATTAACATTTACGCAAGGTGATACGTATTAACTATTCAGTGAATACTGTGTGTCGTATAGAACTCACAAATTTATGACACTGCGTAACTTTTTTCGTCTTATCAGTAAACTTAAACTGATTAATGCTCGATAATTTCAGAGACCATCTATTTTATAAATTAGAAATCCAGCCACTAGATGATTAGGTAAATGACATGATCTTAAATTCAGTTATTCACGTAATGCTTATCACGTAATAAAAATGTTAGATATTTCCAGGAATTGTTTTTTAATTTATGCGTGCGATATTTCAAGAAAATTAAGTATTATATTACGATGGTCGATATTAGAGGAAATACTTTATCTTTGTTTTTGCATATCAGTTCCTAAAATTGAATTCTAGCAATAATTGATCGGTTTTACACAGTTACCTATTGATGTTTTAGATTGATGAATTGATATAATAAAATTTTCGTAGTTGAAAGTAATTTATCATTTTATTTAATATAAAGAATAAATAAAATTTCATTTGAACAAGCGAGGTAATTAAATTTGAACGAACAACGTAATAGAAGGGGTTATACTGTAGTAATCGGAGAAAACTAAACATAGAAACGTTGTATAATGAACTACTATTTTAAATTCAACATAGTTCAACTACACTAACAGACCAGCAAGAAATCCGAATTTTCTGAACTTCATGAAGGATTTGATGATTATTCGGTGTAAAAAGTACATCGTAATAATTTAGAATAATTTGCATTGCAGATATTTCGACCGCTGGTGGAAATACGTAACATTTGTTTCAATTTGAACACACAAAAAATATAAAAATAAGAATATTCATGTTATACGTGTGTTTCAACGTTCAAATATATATGTGAAGAATTCAAGTTTTTCATTCCAAACATGAAACTTAATATTTGACCAAAGAAAAGCTTTGGATACTTATGAAGACGGAAGTAGAATATTGATTAAATATTTTACTCTGATAAGAGAGTTCGTTCTTTTGATAAGAGAATTCGTTCTCAATTCAAGGAAACTTGGTAGGTGGGTAATCTAATCTCATATGCTCAGTATATAATCATTTATGACAGCGTACGATAGACTTATAGTAGTGTTATCTTATTTATTTAACCTGGCACCTTTCACAGGTGATCAAACGTAGTGGCACAGTTGCAACTTGCTATGACCAGAGATAGTGCGTCTCACATTATCACTTTGTTTAATCCTTCTATAAAGCTTCTTCTTCGACGTTTATCTTTGGTATCTTAATAAAATAATCAGAGGTGACGGTTTTCCCAACGACTGTACCGTGCATGATTAACGCACTCTGTAATGTGTACAAGTCACACAGCTTGATTTTACTTGCATTTAAGCTTAGAATTTTCACAAAAAAGATTTACTTGATAGTTTTTGAAGTAAAACTTAAACTTGCAATGTAATAGAAGTTCCAAAAAGCTGAATTGTAGGACACATACAGGACTAATTTTCGTTTGGCTATGCCTTGTTCATGCGATAACTGCAATTTTGAAAAAAATTAATGATTGATCTCCCACATGTGACAATATGTCTCTTGATTTGTGTCAATTTAAACTTTTTTGAGAATTGGTGGTGGAAATTTTGATTAGGATTCGTTACAAATATAAATATCAGTACTTATCTTGATACTGTGTTTTCACGAGTTGGCCAAGATCGATCATAGGAACTTGATTGTTAATTCTTATTCCTAACTATTACCAGAGCAACGGAAGAAAATGTTGGTGTGTATGATTGCTGGCACAGAACCTATCGTCATCATGCCGGGACCGAATCTGTCAGCCACGCATGGGATCGAATCCGTTCATCCATGCTGGGATCGAATCCGTTCATCCATGCTGGGATCGAATCCGTTCATCCATGCTGGGATCGAATCCATTCTTCCATCCTGGGATCGAATCCGTTCATCCATGCTGGGATTGAATCTGTTGTCATCCATGCTGGGATTAAATCGCGGTAATGGGAAATGCGTTTGCATCAGAGAGGTTTACTGTTTTGCACCATATTTTAATTTTTGGTCTTTCCGACGACTTATTGGTTTAAAATATACCACAAATTCATGCAAAACAGTAAACCTGAATTTACTACGTCTACCGTANGGAAAGCCTAAGTTTATACCGCCATCATAAAGTTTTGCCAACCAACGCAAACGATTACAACTAAATCTCGGAATTTGTCCGGGAAAACGACCATTTTGCCACTGGGCAGGGTGGCCGCAGTGGTTACAGTTCAGAGTACCAAGATTGGCGCAGAGAGGCACGGGTTCGATCCCAGCTCTGTGCGCCAGTTTCTGGTCAGAATCGGCAAGGAGGCCGGGCGGTTAAGCAAAGCAGAAATTGTAGCAGTGAGTTGCGAGGTCGAGACCGCAACAAGCTGTGAATGTTCTGCGATGTTAAGGATCGGCGACAGGCCTACGGCCTAATAAACGCTGAAACAGCTATTATTTATTATTATTGCAACTCTGTTCCTCCTTGTATGAGATTTTTTACCGTAAATAAATAGAACGAAAAATAAACTCGTCATTTAAATTTATCATTAATTTTAGCCCTTAAAAAGTACGAATTACTAAACTTTATTATGTCATGCGTGGTGACAAAATATCTCTGATGGAGTAATTATCCTAACGGAGTTACTGGTGGCAAAGACACATCTATTAAGGCGTAGAAATATGACAATGGATATATTTTTAAACCAGCATCAGCCGTA